TGATGGCGGGAGGGCAGAAAAGCCTGACATTTTTCCTTACCCTACACCAGGGCTTGCTGGGTCCCGGGGGCGCTGTCTGTCTTGCTCTCTGGGCCCTCGGCCTGGGGGTGCGGGGGCATCACCATGTCTTACTACCCGAAGTCTTTACAATGGAAGGAAACGTTTCTCTGTGCCCTGCGTGCACAGATGCTGGAGACACCCAGAGAGGAAGGCGTCTGGGCCCGCTGCACCCCACGCTCCCCACTATACATAACCCGGTGCCTCTCGACTGATGGATGCATCAAGAAGAGGCACGACGAGACGCCCGGCTGTACAGCCAGAGGGAATCCTGCCCTTTGACCGGCGTGGACGGAGCTGAGGGGACGTGTGAGGGGGACGGGGAAGGGGTTGGCGTCACTCACACGCGGCATGCGGAGAAATCGAATGTCAGACCTACCAGGCCAGGAGAAATAAACTTCTGCACTACCAGACCAATCAGGGGCTGCCAGGAGGGGTGGGGGGATCGGTAAAGAGGGGACCATAGTGTGGGGGGTTCAGCGGGAACCTGCCATGGATGTGCAGACCCTCCAGGATTCCTGTGTGACGTCGCAGCGCCACTTCCACTTAAAGTCACATTGAAGAAGCGGCGCAGATTGCATGGGGGTGACGCCTCCGCCCAGGGCTCTCTCAGAGGTGAGTGGGGTGCAGCCGAGGGCAGGACAGGCGGGGGAGGCCAGAAGCACCCACCGGCTCCATGGGATGCAGCCATGACAGCCATGACATTCAGCGGGAATCCAGAGTCTGCAGAACCCACAGATGCTGCAGAACCTTCACAGCTGTGCCCAGGAGCTTCTTTCAGAAGAACAACGATGCTGAAGACCTGAGCAGCAGCTCTCCGTGCGCCCGGGCAAACCACGCCAGCGCCCACTTCTCGCCCCCGGGCAAGGACCACGTGAAGCCCCCTGGGGAGCGCGTGGCGATGGGTCTTGGGGGAAGGCACTGCTCATGAAGGACAGCAGGAACCCCGCAGGAGGGGGCAGCCATGGGCTCAGCACAGCAGTGTCAGGCGAGACTTCGGTCCCTACAGACCCCTGGAGGTCCCTGATGCATCAGGGGAGGTGACAGGGTGGAGTGAATTTTCTGGAGATGCCAGCGGGCATCTGCCTGTGGGGAGGGACCCCAGGGACAGGGAGCCTCTCCTGGTGGGTGGCAGGGGTCAGCCACACTGGGGCTGCACTGCACACTGTCCACTCAGCATGCCCATCCAGGGAAGACCAGTCGGGAGCAGAGGTCCTTGGGGGGCCCTGAGGCCAGCGAGCGCAGAGCCCCCTGCCCGTGCCAGCCGAGGGGTCAGGGTCCCCGGGTGATGCCCGGAACCCCTACCTCCCTACCATCGGGACAGCCTCGCTCAAGTTGGGTCCTGGCAGCATGAGCCGCGGCCTCAGCCCCAGGCAGCTGGACTGGGGCCGTGGGGGAAGGCCTTCCTGGAGGGCTGCCCCGCCCCGCTCATACACTTGTCCGGGTGTTCATGAGGGCAGCCGCGAAGCCCTGGGCTCTCCCACCTCTGTCTTCCACCCAAAGGTTGTGGACCTGGGAAACGTGGCGCCCGTGGGGCAGCCCGGCCCGGGGCTCGCAGGAAGGCACAGGAGGACAGAGCAGGACCAGAAGCAGACAACCTGTAGTCCGAGGCCAGGGTCCCCTCCCGGCAGCAGAGAGAGGGCCTGGGCGCTGCCTGGAACCGCCGGGGAGTCTGGAGCCTGTGCTCCCGCGCAGAGTCCGCACTGCGACAGAAACTGACCGCGGCTGTGTGAAGGGTGCGTGTAGCCTCGGCCCCAGGGGCACCTTTGTGAAGACCGCGGCAGCCTCGCCAGGCAGGCGCCCCTCCCCATCCAGACGCTCCAGAGGATGAGGATGCAGCAAGGGCGGGGGGTCCAGTGAGCTGGACACTGAGTGGGCGTCAGTGCCTGCACAGGGCAGTGTCCACTCAGCATGTGCAGCAGCCAAGTCCCAGGGGACAGAGGCATGGGGACTGTCTGAGGCCCACTCTGAGCTCGCCGGGAAGCCCGGCTGCAGGTTCAGGTGCGGACCGAGCGTGGGGTTCAGGATGTGCCTGGGGGCCAAGGGATGGCCGTTCTGCGAGCAGCGGCGACTTGGGTGGGGCAGCATCGCCCCTGAAGGGGAGCCACCTGCTCACCCCAATACTAGCCCCGCTGGCTGCAGGCAGCACAACAGCCTTGCAGGCCTCGGGCCTCCGTTTCTTCGGGTGACATTGCCTAACTCAGAACATCACCACGATTTCTTGGATGTGACAAACGTGGCCAACAACAACCAGCCAGCTCCGCGGCGCTGTGAGTGTTTTTCTGTTTTTCTGTTAATAGCTCGCGGCCCGAAACCTGGTGTGGCTCTGACTCTGCTCCTGAGCCCAGGGCCTCATTTTCAGCTCTTTTCCCCAAGGGCCTGTATCAGGCCGTCATCAGAGCCAGCCGGAGCCAGGTCTCCACGCTGACGCAGGCTGGGCCGCGCCCGGCTGCTCAGCTGGGCCTTGGTGGGCAGAGCCTTCCGCAGGGGGGCTGGCGGGCGCAGCGCCCTCACCTGAGCTCCGTCGGGGCGTGCAGTGGAGCAGCCGCCACGGAGCGGGCCCCGGGGCCGGGGCAGCCGCGCATTCGGCCACGTCTGAACGACATGGCGAAGACCCTCGGGGCTCCCAGGGCACGGTCAAGCCAGGTCCTCTTCTGTTGTGTCACTTCCTGCCACCCACGAACAGGACACAAGGGGCCCCGACTGGGTCTTCTGTTCCGAGCACCTGCAGACGAGTCAGGCATGAAGCAGGAGAAGCAGCAATGGCTCTTGGGTGGCGGCGGCGCTCACAAGGGCGCTGTGACACGCAGACGCGCCAGCACACCCAGGGTGTTGGGTGGAAGTTCCCGCTGAACTCAGAACATCACCGCGATTTTTGGATGTGATGAACACGGCCAAGAACAACCACCCAACTCTGGAGAGCCGCAGGGGCACTGAGGAGCAGAAAGTTCCGGAGACTTCCACCCCAGCCCCAAACACAAACATTCCCAGCGATGTTTGTCTTGGAGGCACAGCTACACTATGAGCCAAAGAGAATATTTGAAGAATCCCCCAAACTGTGCTGGGGACAAGGCCAGGAGGACCAGAGAGGGAGCCTCCGCTTTTCCAGAGGCAGGGTGGTCCTCTCGAGCATGCTCAGGCCCTCCAGCTCTTGGCCCTAAAGGAAGGGCAGCCCAGAGGGTCACACCTGAAGTGACAGGTGCATCTGAAGTTGTATTTCCCTGCCGACAGCAGGCGGAGCGGCTTCATGGGGTGGGGGCACCGGGCTCTGCCAAGCTCGCCGCAGCCGAGAGCGAGTCCTACAGGGGTCCAAGACAGGCACCTGGGCGGGGAGAGGCAATCTCCTGTCTCCGCAAGACTGAGACACGCAGGGAGAAGATGCAGTTTGCTTCCAGACCTTTCTTCGAGGGTGCGAGATGCAGTAACTGCTGGTGCCAGCAGGAGGGCACGGCCGAGGAGCCACCGTCCCCAACAAGGCCAGTCCTGAGCCCCAGGGTGGGAAGGGGAAGCCTCACTGGTGAGGGATGAGCCTGGGGTCATTTTCAGACACTGCTCCCCAGGCCTCTGTTCCTGAAGCCCGACAGCGCCCGCTGGCTTCAGAGAAGGTGAACTCGAGGAATGACACGGGAGCCTCCAGATAAAACAGGGCATCCTACGGGACGGCGCAGACGCCCTTTTCCAAGCCACCCCACACACCTCCCTCCAGCCTCTCCTCCGTGGCGCACTGCCAGGCTGTGCACGCCACCCTCTGCCAGCAAGGCGGCCCGGGGCAAGGATGGCCTATGCTGGGCAGCTCGGGCTGGGGGGTGGGGGGGGGGCGAGTAAGCTGTTACTTCGCTGCGAGGCTGCTAATGAAGCTCTCACTCTCCACGGGTCTGCTGGGGGCCGGACCCGTGTGAGCTCAGCTCTCACACAACCTGCCGCGGACTAGACCTGGCACGCCCGGCCCCTGCCCTCCCTTCTGGAAGGTCGTTCCTTCTCCTCTGGCTGCCTCCATCGCTCTGACAAGCCATGGCCATGCTCGTGTGGTGCGTTTCTGGACCCTGCCCAGGGGCAGGGCCAGGGCACCAGGCCAGTCTGGGGTCCGACCGCAGCTGCTCACAGCAGCTCCTCCAGATGGGGGACAGAGCTGCCGCCAGGGAGGCTGGGGTGACGGACACCCGGCAGGGATGCCCAAGAGGACGAGTAAACAAGCAGGCGGGCCAGAGGCCCCCCGGGAGAGAGCAGTTCCTGGGGAGATCCACTGCCCCCCCCGCCCCCCTCCACCCCCCAGCACCAGCGCTCAGCCCCCTCCGCAGGAGCTGCAGGGATAGAAGCTACGGCAACGGCCGCCTTCGAAGCACACCCGTAGCCGCCTGCATGTCTGGCCTCCTGCTGACACCACCGCCTGCACGCAGCACGCACACACCCTCGGAAAAGGACCCTCAGCTGGAGCAAACAGTGAGAGTAACAGGGGACAGTCCCCTCGGGAAGTGGCCACAGGTTGCGAGAGAAGTAAAAAGAGAAAGTGCAACAGACACTTTCGATTTTTATGAATTATGAAAACACCGATCTTTGCAAGAGTCTCCCTTGACGCACAGAAAGAAGGACAGACAGAGATGCAGACACCCAGGGGCTCCGGGACGTGTGTCACCCTAAGTAAAGCCCTCTGAGAGAACAACCACTGAATTCTGTTGGCTTTTTAACCCATCACTAACACAGGCCCCAACTTTCTTGGTCAACCGCGGAGGACGTGTTCCTGGGCAGGGACACCCGCTCTGTGTTCTCTTCCCGGGCCGGCTCTAACCCGTCCTGCTGCAGGCTGAGAGGCCTGTATCTGGGGGCTCCTCCTGTCCCTGCTTCCAGCTCCCCGCAAGGGATCAGGGCCCTGCACAGGTGCGGGACGCGCAGGGGAAGGCTCAGGGCCCAAGGGTGTGTGGGCAGGGCGGGCCAGGGCGGCTTACCCACTCGTAGGCGAGCACCCAGCAGCCACGGGCGATGCCCAGCAGCACGTTTAGGGTGCGCCCGGGCGCCCCGGCCAGCACGTGGGTGGTGGTGTCACACACTTCCCGGGCCAGCGCGAAGCCCTGCAGGCTGTTCACCACCTGGATGACGACGTTCTGCTTTCTGTCGAGAAAGAGAGAGAAGTCAACAGGCGAAGACCTGCCCTGCCCAGGAGCAGCAAGTTGAACATGGATTAAATAAAAAAAACAAAACAGCCGAAAACCAGGAGTTAAAATCCCACACGGACCCGGCTATGGCGGTCGGGTCTTCATTTCCCTGCTGTCGAGGACAGCTGACGCGGGAGGTGAGAACCTGCAGTCTCACGTCCAGCTGTCAATTTAATGGCTGAGAAAACGTGGGGCATGCCCGTGGCTGGGGCAGGGATGGGCTGGGCGGGGCAGCCGCACGGAGGGCAGGGCCAAGCCCCAGCCCATGGTCATCCCCTAGCCGCCCCGCCTTAGACTTACTGCTTCAACTGTGTGAGCGACGACCCGACTCCCCACCGGCCTGTTTCATGGCGAAAACGTGACCTTTACTAAGTGTCAGGCACAGTTTTCTAACTAAATGGGGGGAAAGGCCCTTCTTATTCCATCGACTCAACTCTTAGGGCCGATCGGAACTGCTTTCGAATCTTCAGCCCACCTCACTGCTCGTCCGGGCTGTCGCCCCACGAGTGCCTTCCGTGTCTTTTACACTTAAGTCTCCTTCCTGCTGGACGTGCCTACCCAGGACCCGTCCGCTCTCCCTTCTCCACCCGTCACCTGGCTAAGGCCTGACGTGCCGACACTGCTTCTCCCGCCCTCTCCTGGCGCCTTCTGGAAGCCAGTGAAACACGAGGCGGGTCGGCGAGCACTTACTCGGACGGCATGCTGGTCATGACCAGGGTTCTCGTGGGCTGGAGAGTGCAAAAGAGAAGGAACAACAGTTAAAAAGGTAAAAGTTAGTTGTTCAGACAGAAACAAACTTTGATACGGTTTGTGAAAAGTCACATCACTCGAAAAATCAACATTTCAGCATGTATCACGGAGGAAAAAACTTTATATTCCCGGGAAACGCGCCGCCCCACAGACTCAGACTCCGCTAGTGGGTCCCGATCAGCCCAAGTTAGCAGGCGGAGCCGCAAATAAAGGTCTCCCTGTCTCTCCGCTGCCAGCGAGGGGCCTCCAAGCACCGTCCTGCCCGCAGAGGGCGGGGAGGGGCATGTTTCTACGGGGGGGGCAGTCCTGCTCCCCACGGCTTCAGGCAGCCACGTCCCCTCTCAACAGCCCGCGGTGGGCGCCCTCGTCCCCCACGGAGGCGGAGGCCACGGGGCTGCTCCGTCACGTGCTGGCACGGGCGATCAGAACTGTCAAGTTTTTCCTTCTTTAAATAAAAAATTTTAGATACTTTTTAACTTACATAAGAAAAGCACACCGACAGCCAAGAAGTTCAGGCTTTGGAAATACATCATTAGCAATCTACACTCCCCTGCGAGTCCACCAGCCAGAAATAACCACTGCGGAGCAATGTGGTGCCTCATCAGGCCCGTCTTCTCTCTAGGCGAGCGGGGGGGGGGGGATCTAATTATTTAAAAAATGAAAGTGGACTCATTTTATTCACACGTCTGTACTCATGTGATATGCTGTGGGTGGAACTGACTGCCCGGTGTGACCACACACTGGCCTGCGTGGCCTGGATGGTCCTGTGGGTCAGTGATGCCCCACAGATGCCCCCCATGGACCTGAAGGGCACTGCGGGAAGGTGGAGGAAGGAGAAGAGATGGTAGGGGTCAAGAAGATATTCAAGAGAGGAACCTGGGCAAGGGACGGAGGACCTAAGGAAGGAGGTCATCCTTTCAGAATGTTCTATTTGTTGTTAGCGCTCATCTGCCTCAGACACTTATGGAGCAAGGTGACACAGTGCCCCGGCCAGGCCTGGGGACACGGCCTGTACGTGGGAGTCTCTAATCTCCGAGACAGACTCACTCTCACTGGGCCCTGCTCCTCATGGCCCCTGGAGTGGGGATTCCACTGGCTGCACAACATCACCCAGTGACGGCTGAGAGGAGGCTACTCTGTGGCACTGAAGTTCTACTGGGGGCCAGCGCAAGCAGCCCACAGGGCTCCACCTGTGGGAAGGCCCCACCTCTAGGACCGTGGATGAGGGATGACGGGAGAGGAGATTCTTGAGCGCTGCAGTGTGGGCTCCTCTTCCTCACTAACTCTACCGTCTCCTGCACAGCCTGTGACTTTGTCATTGGCATACACTGACAACCCCGACATCATGCTTGAGCACAGGCCCACCCCTCACATCCAGATGCAAATGCCCTGCTGCCTCTTGCCACTCCACTGGGAGGGGAGCTCAGATTTGAAACGTCTCAAAGAAACAGAAAACACCCAAACAGAAAGGGCGACATCCCCTGGACGATGCAGAAACCCAGGAGAACATGAGAACTAAAACGTGAATTCCAAATCCTGCAAATGCACACACAGAGAGCAACAGCATTTCTGTGCATTAGTGCTGAACAGCCAGAAAAGGACATTAAGAAACAGCCCCATCTATGACAGCATCTGGAAGGGCAGGGTCCTTGGGAACAGTCACTCGTGGAGACGAGGCTGCCGCACTGAAGGTCCAGAAACACCGCCGAGAGCTGAAGAGCAGCGTGAGCGGGACGGCGCCCTGTGGGTATTAACAGGCCTCCCCAAACCAGCACAGTCAAGGCCACCCCCCTCCAGTCCCAACGGCAGTTGTTTTGAATAAATGGGAAAATCCACCCCAAAATTCATATGGAATCCCAGGACCCCCAAAAGTCAAAACCATCTTTAAAACAACGGTGAAGTTGGAGCTCTTGCCTCCTCCGACCTCGCTCTTCCCTCAAAGCTCCAGTGATCATGACGCTAGGGGCCTGGCAGTAAGACAGGCGCCGGGGGCCGAGAGCCCTCACGCTGGGGGCCGGGGGTCTGGCAAGTGGGCCGAGACTCCGGGAGGATGAAGAACAGCCTCTTCAACAAAAGGTTGAAATGCGTCCACAGCGCGGGAGGAGCTGACCTTTGCTCCTACGCCACACAATCGGAAGTTGACTCCACAACAGATCAAAGGCCTCAATTTAAAAGCCACAGCTATAAACACCTCCTAGAAGAAACGCAGGGGGCAGCTTCAGGACACTTGGTTTGGCAGGGGCTGCTTTGGCACCACGAGCACAGACTAGAAAACGTAAGCTGGACTTGACAAAACTCAAGCCCGAAGGCTTCGTGAGGACACGCCCTAGCTGGTCCCTGACCTTAAACAGACTCGCCCGGAACCGCTTCACAGAAGAGTAACGGGCGCTCGCAGAATCCTTCTCGGAACCGCAAGAGGTGATGCTGAGGGAGGTCATCAGATGGAAGAGCCCGTCACAGCCCACGGTGTTTCTGGCTCACCACCCCGAAGGGTTTCCCGTCGCCGAGAGCTTGCTCAGCCCACAGGAGTGCCGCAGGTGGGGCTGGCGGGTGCACAGCAGCTCACGTGTCACCCGCCTGCCCGCCGGGCGGCCTCGTGGGTCTTATTATGGACGCAAAGACCTGCCCACCCCACCTGTCCCACTTTCTGCCCTGACTGCCTGTGACCTGCACCCCTCGGGGATGCCGCTCTGCCTGCACAGAGCTGTCCTGGCCACGGCTCTATGTAGCCAAGGCCTCCCCATCGTGTTGAACAACAAAGGTTTGGTGAAATTATTTTTAAAGCGGGGCGGGGGGCCTCCCCGGTGGCACAGCGGTTGAGCGCTGGGTTGCGAAGCCGCCCGCAGCCTCTGCAGCGCCGGTTCGATCCCCGGCTGCTCCCCGGTCACCGGAGGAGGGTCCCACATGGCGCGCAGACCTCTCCTGCCGCCCGCTGCTCCCCTCAGCAGTGCGCTTCGGTCCTTCTGCCTGCTCTGCTCCCTGCTCTGGCTCTGGCGAATTCTCTCACCCTCCCGCGCTTCTAACTGTACCCAGTGCTTGTATAAATAAATAAATAAATAAATAAATCTAAAATAAATAAATAAATAAATAAATAAATAAATAAATAAAGCGGGGCGGGGTAGGAGTTAAAACCTTTCAGTCATCAAAGAACACTGTAAGAGTGTTCTCCCTGTTCTGCCTCCAGAACAGGGAGAAGTATCTGCCTCCCTCTACCTGGTAAGGCTTACTATCCAAATACGTACGGAATTCACAACTCAACAAAAAGGCACAGAATCCACTTAAGAAATGACAAAGAACCTGAACGGACAGTGAAGCCAGACGGCCGCGCCCCAGGGGCGCACAGCCACCGCTCCCGGCCTCGCAGACTCGCCATCACATGGGAACCGAATCGTAACTCAAACCCACAGCCAGCGAGGCTCATGCCAGAAGCTGGCTGAAGTGCCGTGTCATTTTCTGACAGTCCGGAACGCGGCCTTGTGATTCAAGCCGTCACTCTTCTAGTTAATCCCTTCCTTCTAAATCATGCTTTTATTTTTTTTTAAAGTCTACTAAATCACCCTGGACTGGTAACCAGTAATTTATACTCAATATTATGTGGAAAGCAGTAACTTTAAAACAAAGAAAGAGCTGGCGAGGGGGGGGCAGGACAGCTGTGTCCTGTGAGGCTCCCCAAGGCGTGAGGCTCACCTGACCCTCGACGGCGTGGGGAGGAGGCACCTCGGGGCCTCTCAGCACCTGTGCGGGTCTCAGGGACACAGGAGGAGGGACCCGCCCTGACCCGCACCTCTGGGGGAAGAAGCCCTAATGCTGCGGCCCTGCCCCTCCTCCTGCCTCTCTGGCCTCCCCCGTGCAGTGACGGCTCCAGAAGATGTGTCCAGCCTGACAAAGCCCTGAGGAGCGGGGGAGCCTTTCTTCCCAGGGAGATCTGGGGAGAGAATACTTTTCCAGACACCTCCCAGGAACACTTCCCTCCACATCATAGGGGCAGAAGTGAGTCATGTCCCAAACCAACCACCACACGAGAAGAGACGGGGTCAGCACGGCCCTGGGCTGAGCAGGGAGTGGCCGGTGCCCACGCCCTGCAGGCGGGAGGTCCCTCCGGGGGCCTGTGCCAGGGACTGCCCTGGACACGGGCAGTGCCAGTCACTGTGTCTCCAGCACAGAGAGCCAGTAAAGGGAAGGTGAACATCCGTTTTTAGTGGTTTTATGTGAACAATTTTTCTCATACATACAAGTAAAAATAACATGAGCAGTGGAGCTGGGAGCAGGGGCCGGGCCGGGCCGCGGAGACACACTGGACGCTCTGCCAGGAGTGAGTCCGAGCCCAGGGCTCCTGCAGCCCCGTGCAGGAGAGACATGGCAGGCCCCTGCGCCTCCCTCAGCCAACTGTCGAGCACGGTGCCCTCACGGCACCCTCGGGTGCAGGCCCACTCTCTGGGGGCGGCCGAGCGCAGGGCGGGCCACATAAACTCCCATGGCATGTCCTCCAGGAAGCAGCTGCCCCCAGTGCTGACCACGCTGCTGCTGAATTTCAGGAGACAAATAAACATCACCTGTCCCTCGGGAGTCACTGCTATTGCAACTTGCAAGTGAAAACAGCCCACGAGATAAGGTGCTTCCGCCAGACACACTGGCCTGAGGCCAGAGCCCCTGGTCCCCGCAGCTGCCACCACTCGGTCACCAACGGGGCATCCCGGTTACTGCACGGCCGACTTTAACACCCGGGCGAGGAGACCAGAGAGAGCTCTCGCTGAGCTTTCCAACAGAAGGCCTCAGGCGAAGGAAACGCCTCTCCACAGGCCCCACGGGAGACGGCGATCTGCTGGGAAGCTGTATCTCTGAAATCTGAAATTGCATTTTTAAGAAAGTTCTGCCATTCCTGCCAAGCCGTGGGCGGCCCGCGGAGGCCGTCCTTCTCTCCACAGCACCACCTACAGGCGCACGTCCAGGAACAAAACCTAAGCACAAAGTCAGGGTT